TCGAATCGTACGGTGTCGAATAATTTGGTGTCGAATAAATCTGTGTCGAATCGATCGGTGTCGAATCGTACTGTGGTCAAACGGAACACGCCCTCCTACCACTCGTCTAAATTAGTTGTACAAAAAAGTGTCGAATTTTTCGTAGTTATACTTTTAGTGGTCCGTTTATCTCCCGATACAAATTCGCCATTGAACGCTGTATTGATTTTAAGACTATTGTGTTTCTCAATGGCATTTTGTACTTTTTCCAACACCGTGCTTTTCGCGTGTTCGAGAAAATGACGAGGTTTGATATGATTTTTGTTAATGATAACACCTGTCATTATTCTACTTTCAAAAGCNGTGTCTATTTCTCGCCATGTAAGACCATGTCCGGCGCCAATGTATGCAAACTGTCAACGCAGTGAGTCTTTTACTTCTTCGAGTCGCGCAATTCTAGCGACTAGTGATTGCCTGACTCCTACAGACAGTCGTGGACGTTTGTTCCGACTATGTTCTTCTAATAATTCGAGACATTCTTCACATCGCTGTTCCCATGCAACAAACTTTTCCCGCGAGTTCAAACGAGTCGACTGCTCCAATACATTGCGCTCTAATTGCGCGATAGTTTCCATTTTGTCACTTTTTTAACACTGTGTTTTCGAAAAGAAACACACTGATTGATCACTCACTCTATGTTCTGATGAAATACTAATTTTATGCGACGATTTCGCTTTTTTATGGTATATTTTGTGCTGATGCTGCAATTTTGTTGATGCTGTCTTTGTTTAATAGAAGTAACATTTGATACACAAAAGAAAGTGCAATGTTTGCAAAATATAACTTTGACTACGTGATAACAACGATGACTTCTGATATCCGACAGAAGTGCTTTTTTGCCGAATTTATGAGTTATATATAGCGATTGCACAATTGTTATTTTCTAATACGCAGTTAGCAATGTTTTTTGCTATTATCAGCATTTTTTAATATAGGATTATGTTACTTTAATATGTGATCAAATCAATGAAATTTGATATCCGGCAAACAAAAATGCATATTTTGCAGAATTTATGAGTCATTTCACCAATCATTTTTTCTCTAATACGCAGTTAGCAATTTTTTGCTATCATCAGCATTTTTTAATATAGGATTATGTTACTTTAAT